GCGAGGAATAATTTTGTTTTTAGTTCTTATATTTTGTTTGTGCTGTGAAGTTTCTTTAGCGGTTGGGACTGGTTTACGGGGTAGGGTTGCTATCTCTACGCCCAACTTCGCTTCTTTACGCGGACTTAGGACCGGCTAGCAACTAGTGAACTAGTTAGGCAGGTGAGCATACACAATATGTTTTTCGAGGCAATACTTTCAAATAACTGCATTATATTTAGGAAAAGGTACGAAATCCAATTAAGAAGTATTACCGACTACTCAAACTGATATAGCGGTTTATCTATCTACAAGTGCTCTGAGTTATATTCAAGTGTATATTAAGGTTGCAGTAAAATGAGTTTACATATAAAGCGTGTATTTTATTCATAACAAAACAAATGATGGAAATCTGTTTACAACTTGTGCAGATAACTTAGGCTGCAAATATAGATTTCGGTAAGTCAAAAACCAACACCTACAACCAGATATGCGAGTAAACAACTTTAGTCATTGTCGCCAGAAAATGAATACTAGGTCTAATTTAGGTGGAAACTACACTTCAGGATTGGCACCGCAACAGGATGAGGACTCTACATAAGGTTTCTGAGGTACCCTCTTTATAGGGTAATGCAATGGAGGCTGTGAACTCCTTTTTTTCTCGTGTTGTCACTATTAGTCGCAGTCGTGTGACTGTTATTTTTTCGTTTTTTGCGTGTCCGTAAGAATTTCATTAATGAACAAGGAGAATACCTATGTCGGATTGCAGAGTAAAACGAAGAACAGACGGTGGCCTGGATACTACTGTCTACAGAAAACCAACACATTCCACCAGGTATCTAGACTTCAAATCATCCCATCCAATGTCAGTTAAGGCAGGATTAGCCAAATGTCTAAATGATAGAGCTAGAAAACTAACTAGTCAGAGCATGAACCTAAACAAGGAATTGAAACACGTAAAAGAAGCATTAATAGTTAATAATTATCCTCCGCAGTTTATTACGAAATTCTTACGGACACAAAAAACGAAAAAATAACAGTCACACGACTGCGACTAATAACGACAACACGAGTAGAAAGGAGTTCACGGCCTCCATTGTATTACCCTATAAAGAGAGTACCTCAGAAACTTTACATAGAATCCTCAACAGAGCTGGAATTAGGGTGACATTTAAACCTACAAACTCACTCAGAGATAAACTTTGTCGGCTTAAGGACCCGAAAGAACCAATTAAGCAAAATAATATGATCTATCAAATTCCGTGTAATGACTGTGAGGTCAAGTATACAAGTCAAACTAGCTGGTCGGGGTCAGTTAGAATAGCCGAACATAGGAATGCAGCTAAATATAGAATAACAGATCAATAATCTAGAAAAAACTCGGCTATTGCTATGCATTCATTAACACACAACCACACAATAGAGTGGGATAAATCCACTGTACTTAAGTCCAATATAATTAGGTGGAGAGAGAGATTGATTACTGAATTTTTGTTCATCGAATCAACACTGAACATATGTAATAGAAATGACGCGACACCTATACCAGAGATATGGAAAATTCTGCTACCAATAAAAACAACTCATATAAAGTGACGTAACTATGAAAATCAAATATCGAAAGTAGTGTGATTACATTAATATGATTATGAGCAATAATTTGTGCTCGAAACGTCATTAATTAAATATTACTAGATCACTGTGTGTTACAAATCAAATAAACAAATCTAATATGGAATTAATTTCTACCACAGTGCCCAAGTTGCCTTAATATACCAGTCATTTTTCAGCAGTTTCGAGCGAGTCCGTTAAAATAAAAGGTTAGAACTGTGATAAATATTTCATTGTAAATGACCTACTAAGCTACAAAGAGCCGTTTAAGTTAGTGTCTTATCTATCTCATTAGTCCAAATGATTTCAGCAGCATTCTCGCCAATGTAAAACGTTATAGATAACTGACTTGTAGATAAACCATTCTGATGGGCATATCGTGACTACTCACTTATGAAACAAAGTCACTGAAGGACAAGATAGAAATATTCTCTATACCATTTTGAGGGGAAATAAGTGTTTTATGGCTTGATAATAATGGATGCATTTACTATACAAAAGTTTTCGTCAATAAACTACTAATTTTTCAAATGTACTAATAGGCCACACACTTAACTGCATTTTGTTAATGCGAACCCCCCTATCTTGTCGAGTTATCCTGACCAAGAGTTTTGTAGCACATTTCATTCTTTTATTTCTTAAAACCTTAAAAGAAAATCATGGTTATGATAAAAAAAATCCCACAAAAAATCAGTACAATAATCGTACACACTTCTACACAGCACGATAAGGAACTTCCCCATGATGACAGCAGACTATCTAAACACTGATGTTAGATGAGGAAAATGCATGCCGAAGAAAAGGCATGAACAAAACAATCCTGACACTAATCTTTCGTGACTTTTTCTTATACCTGAACAGTTATATGGTATCTCAGTAAGTATAAACATTGAACATGGCATTATTGCATTACATCCTAAGTGACCACACCTCAAACAATCACATCAAGGTGCAAGGAAGTAATATTTGGATCAAAGAATCAATGGTTAAATATCGGTTGGCAAAAAAATATTTCTTTAAATCATAAAAAAATGCCACGTTGTTAGAATAAATAGATTGACTATAGCACACAAGGTATTTTTTTGATATAATTTTGCTTATCAAACAGCTGAAAATAACATACTGTTAACTATGATTATGTTTAGAGCTGATTAGAAGAGAAAATATAATATAAAGGGAAATGCAGCTATCATTTCACACAGAAACATATGAAAATAATGATCATGCAGAGCCGTGAAATTGTGAAAAAAATCTGTAGCTCAGATGGATGATCTCAGCTGTGTTATGGTCTCTGAGGTAACTGGTTTAATCATGAAGCTTTCACTATCCTCCTAGATAACTTCAACCATCGAAAAAATTCTAAACTCCTTTCAGACACCTATTCTGTTTATTTCCACTTTCATTATCTGTATACTCCATCCTTTATTAATGAACAAATTTCATCTTCCCAAGTTTTCAGCCACACTGATTATTGGAATGTGTGAACTCTGGTATCTTATTTTTATTAGTCTTACCGTTACCAATACCAGTATTTACATAGTTCTTATTCTTATTATGACCGTGGCGGTTTCTTTTCGCTATTTCGTCACTATGGCTTGAGAAATCACTGTGATTAGTTATGGATACTGACTGTATTGAGGCTTCAAGAGATCTACTTTAAAACAATGTTGCTCATCTAAAAGTCTTGCTCTGGCTTCAACAGCGGGAATTTCCAACAAAAAATTACTAGAAACATATGAAGTTCCATTAAAATTCCTATCATAAATCAAAAGATATTTGAATGAATAATGAATATTCTTTTCTTTGGAGAATTGTGGGGATTGAATGATTTCAAAGAAGTGTTCTTGTAACATTTTCTTGATAATATTATATAGTTAAGGTGTTCTCTTCAGAAAATTCCTATGTGAGCGGTAATGTCACGATCAATCGTTAGGAGAATTCAACTCAAAATAATTGATTACACAGATGACCATACATCTTATGTAGAAGATGAAAACCAGCCATCATCTCCGATGATGAAATTTATGTGAATCAAGACTGTCATAAGAGGAAGGGGAAATAAAATATGATAGAATGAGAATGCAAAACCCCCACAAACCTCCAATCTGAAATGAAGTCTAGTTCTCAATAGTAACGTGCTTACAGATGAAATTTCCCAAAGTTCTAATGAGAAGCAGTGATCTGTGGAGTAAACAAGACGGATTCGAGGACAAACACTCAGCGATGGCATTGGATGATCATCACTTCATATCGAGAATGGGCAGAAGTAGGAAAATATGGACACTAGGTTGTAACGTGCCCGCTACGAGATCCGAAGGTCCTGAGTTCGAGCCTCGACGATGAATACCACCCTGAAATCACTTAAATCTCCACAAACCAAACTAAAAAAGTCTTATAAGAACAATAGGTAAGATGTGATAAAGAAGGATAAATGATTTGAGGAATGCTAGTTTAATAAAATGGTAACTGAAAAAGGGAACAAAACAGGATAAGAGAATGTTATAAAATCACTTCCGGGAGATGAGGAATATTCATTATGTGGAAGTTGAAAATTAGGCTACGTGGAGCAGAACTTTTACGGGCTTGTTAATCCCGAATCAGACCAAGGCAGCTGTAGCAGAAACGCCTGTTTCATCTGAACACACTACTCAGGTCGTTTAGTTCTGATTCCCAACGCTTCTGCAATTTGAGGGATTTGGAACCTGGTATTGTTTTGCAAACTGGTGGGAACCCAATGTAACAGCAAAGGACCTATATTCATATCCACCACATGGTCTGTTTGAACTAAGTATGCTGGCTGAAATAAAGCTGTTAACAATTTGTGTCTCACCTCTGCTTAACCTGAATTTCATTTAAAAAAATAATGTAACGATTCTGTAGACTTCAATTGTACGTGTAGAACAAACATTAGATGTTATGTACACCAGATTGCTGTAAATCAACTGATGTTCAGAATTCCGTAGCACGCATGATAATTGAAACAAAACGAAAAAAGCTGTATGGTGTAACAGACCTGACGGAATATCTATACCCTCAAAATAACTTTCAGTGTGACTTGTTATCGTGGCACTTACATAGTACACCTGCGTTTCTCATAATAATCGAATCCCTTGATCTTTACACACTGTGACTGATGCTTTAGCCCTGGGACCGCTGAATTTGCAAACCTGATCAAATCTACGAAGTTAACCAGTGTACATACATATCATGGTGAAAACCTAACTTTCTACAGACTAACTACCACTGTAACGATCAGTGATTTGACAGGATAGTTCGAATCTTATCAAGCTTACCACAAATCAATATCCCATAAAATTGAAATATATTTTCTTGCACCATAGTAGTTGACAAAGGTAATAAAAATATTCCAAATAATGAACCAAAAAGAAATCCAAATACATAGAACTTACTTCTTCGAACTTGCCTTGACTTCGACAAAGTAATGCTAAATTATTCAACTGCTTTGCAACATCCAAATGATCTGCACCTAATAACTTTAGAGGAAACCAAATGAAGTAAATCCCACTGCTACTAAAATATTTGCATACACGCACAAACAAGTATAGCAGGCAATAGTGGAAACAAAGACAAAATAACGTCACTGACTGACCTAAAGACTATAAGATCCAGGTAATGACTAAATCTGTTCACTGTCTACAATACTTCACAGAATAAGAGGAAAGAAATTTAATTCATGATGAACTGAGTCAGAGAAGTGCCGCATACATTTTGAAATATTGAGACAACTGAATAGGAATCGTACTTTTCTTCGTTCTACCTTTATGTAGTAGACTAAGCAAGTAGCCACAGAATCGCCGTGCACTTTGATTATGAGACCAATCCAGTATTGTCATGTGTCAATAGGATACAATTGACCGACTATTAGCTAAAAAGCCAAATTCAATCAAAATACTGATTGTAACAACAGTATCACGCTGTAAACTAGTAGTACCCTACACGTTCTAGAAAGACAGTGCGATGGTCGGATGTGTGCAAGGCGTAAACTGATGGACTAGGGTGAATGAGATAACTGGAATCAATGTTTAGCGACTCTTGTTAAAATGACTGAAAGTCGGTCACAGTGGTGCAGATTTGTTCTGAAAAGGTAGAGAATATTTGTAGCTCAGGTGGATGGTCTTGGTTGTATTGTGTTTTCTGAGCTGAGTTATTTAATCGTGAAGCTTTCATTGTCCTTCTAGACGACATCATCAGCACTAACTTCAGTATGAAGTCATACAGAGAACACAATACAACCAAAGCAGATTTATTCGCTATTTAATGACTTCTAAGGTTCAAACAGCTTCACTAACCTTCCTTTTTCAAATTACTTCATCTACGATAAACCTATGACTACAGTGATATCACTCTTTCATCCTTCTTGTTCTTTGCATGCATATATGAAGCGCAAAACCTGAATGGATCCGTTTCTGCACGAATTTTTACATTGATCCTATCTCTCTCACTGACTTCACTTGATCGATGAAGTGAATCTTCAAAATTCACTTTAAAAATGTCCGCAGATTCAATAGTTAGTTCTCACTGACACACTGGTGTAGGTATATCACCAGGTTCTCAATCACAAAGTGCAAATCTCCACTCAATATCAGTCTACAGGCGTCTAAGTACTGTCCGATCGAATGGATCTGTAAGAACTAGAATGGGTTGTGAGACTTGCTGACACTTATTTATGAACGCTACCCATACGCACAGCGACTGCGTGCTGTGAAATAAAAACGATGAGTTTTCTCAAAAACTGTCGAATTCTCAACATATAGCGAAACGTTTAGAGATAGTCATGATAGCAGGCGACTTGAACGCACACGTAGAAAAACAGCCAGTCAGAAAGACATCTTGGAGGTATCTACTGAATTCCAGGATAAGGAACAGACAACGATGTTATTCTCTTGGAATTTTGTTTTGATAAACACTTGCTTCTAGTCAGCGTTAACTCAAGCATAGGGAGAGGCACTTTCTCCGTTAGTCTCCGCCAACGTCAAACCAACGATGAACAGGAATAGATCACATTGCTATTTGCTATCAATACATACGCTTCATAGGAGATTCTTGTTCTCTCTCAAGTAGACACATCCAATTCGAACCTTAATGGGACGAAGATGTTGGGAATCCAACTCTGCTTAGAGTCGAAGTCTGCGCCAAACCAAGAATGATGCGAACCACCAGGACGTGAAGGTTTTACATCAATAGTTTCGATGAATTAGAAATGAAAAGTGAGTAGAATGACAGGAAAACTATCCAGTGTATAGAAATTTGAGGTAGTCCTGTCAGACCGGCCTAAATCACTAATCATTCTAGTTCATTATAAAGGAAGTCTTCGTGTGACAACTACAAAGAGATTAGCTCAATATATGGTATAAGAGGCTATGATGCATAGTCATACGACATCCAGGAGGGGTTCAGGAACAACAAACTAGAAGAAACCAGATATGTTTGAAACCTAGATGAGGTTGCATCGGCCAGATCTTCGCTCTTTGGTAGGTTTTGTAGCATGGACATTATTAACGGTACTGGAGACCTACCATATTTCTTGGACAGAAAGCTGCACCTCACCCTGTTAACCGAGAGATACTGTTGCAGTATCCGAACATCAAGAAAGAAACTTATTAAGACTCTTTATTCGAATTTACGCACCTGTTGTTTGTACTTATGGAGATTGCCTATCTATGATGAAAACTAGGCCTTCGCCGGGAGTCGCAGTTATCCCAGTTTCTTTTCAATTTTGGTAAAGACGTGGTAATTTAAATAACTCTAGGTATCTCCAAATCTTAGGAGATAGACCCACTACCAAAGGAGCACCTGGTGAACTTGGGGTATGTAGACAACACTCTCCTTCTAGGCGAAGACGCTTAAAAGCGCAGTACTCTGTTTCCCTTGAGAAAAAATCAGAGTACGTTTTACATGCGTTTCCCACCTGCCTAATGTTAGATGCTGCTTTAGCGCTGACTTTTCACACAAAGAGAGTGAAGTGGTTGAATGCATTGACCACCTCATTTGCTTGAGGAGCTGCAGCAGCCCAAATGGGTTAATTAATAACGAAATCTCAGCTCAGGTATAAAAGGCCAATCTCATATTTTCCAACTGTTATCTCTCGTCTGTTAGATATCCAAATACCTACTAAAGAATGGGTGTACTATCTAGAGGGCATATTCCACGGCTGTGGGATGTCCCCATTGAGGGCAAAAGATTCGAAGAAGCTTCAGATTTCCGACTAGTAGTGTCTCTGTGGTATTGTTTGTTTGTCGTGAAATAACAGAGCAGGGAGTGTAGATGGTCGGAATAAAATAATTGCCAACGAAGGAAAGCTAGTTGGTTATGTTGTGAACCTTTACCGACTGAGATGATTTAGATATGTATTGCGCATAACTACGCTCCGTCTACTTCGACAAGGAATGTTAGCTAAAGTAGGATTGAGTTGCGAGAAGACTCACGGTGGTCAGATAAAGATGTGGCATCAGTTCATGAAGTCTCTGACTGTTGTTCTGAGCCGTGTAGGTAGGTGTGAACTATCTGGCTTAGGTTCTTAGGATCGTACGAAACAATGATTGTTGACTCTTGGTGATGCGGCTGAAAATCGGTCACTGTAGCGCAAATGCATACGCTTTTGATATCTTCGAAGTCTTGAAGCCTTATCTATTTATTTTCACTCGTCTCGTACACTTTTATCTTCAATGTCATTCTTTTTCTACTCACTTCTTTTAGGTTTTTGTGAAGTGTACCAACTTGAAACGAAGTATTTCTGCGACAAGCTCTTTGCTAATCTATCCGTCTGTACGAAGGAAAACAAAATTGTGCATCTAACGTCTCACGAGACGGTGGACATCACGAGGGTTCACTAGGCACGGTACATTTATAAATACAGACACGGTTTTAAATAAACGCAGGTTGCTTTTGTCTACTAAACCAAAAATGCATTCAAATAATTAAATAGATATATCAACCTTGAACCGATTATATGGATGGACCAATCTTACAGAATTATAATGTATCGCTTCGATAAATGTGACATTCTTACGAAAATTAACCACCAAATGATTGATTACGAATTCAGTTGGCTGTATTTTATTCAACAATGAGACGAAGTTGCTAATACACTCGGTTGAAAATTCTTCCATCTGGTAGCAGATAAGGCCGTTACTACCTACTCATACCCTTTAGGGCTGTGGCAATAATGTTCTCACAGACAAAATCGTTTAGTCTCATTTAATTTCATTGTTAGTTAGTAACAGTGGAGGGATGGTTGCAAGCACCCATTGTAACTAAGCCATTTGCGCACAGCGCTTTCAAAATGTAAATGCAGTCCGCAGGTACATATATTTCTGACAATGAAACATTTGATACTGTTTACGTATGGACATCATATTCCCAAGAAACAAGATAACCAAGGAGATTCGAAATTGTCTAATTGGCTGTATATGCCGCAAAACTTGAAGCTAAGAAGGGAATTCCCCGCCCCCTCATGACACAAATTAGTCGGTTTTACAGAGGCTAGTTTACATTCTGTTTTTTAGTATCATATTGCCAACTTTATTGAATAAAATCAATTTATGCAGTCATTAACAATGCTGCAAACACTAACTAGGTTAAACCACACCTTATACTCATTTGGATATAAAGCAAAAGTGAAAAGCCCACTGTGACACTCAACCAAAGACATTAGTTAATGACAATAATACGTACAGAGTACCAATGGAATAGTGTAACATGTCTTCCCTGAGGAGATACAATGCTAAAAAATAATCTTGATATCAAACATCCATACTGAAATAGTAGTAGACATGCTACTTTACATAATTTTGCTATTCACAAAAGAAATCCTCATTTCGAAATTCCAAAAACAAAATAAAGAAATATAACTCAGCAGTCACGTACACTATGAGTCATACTTTTTGTGAGTATTAGAGCAGGACCACACTTGGTTATCCAAACACCAACAGATGAAATGATCGTTAAATGGTCGACAAACACGTTTCATGAATATACAAATGAAGAAGCACAAACGAGTTCCAACATTACTTACAGTTGCAACTGAAGAACTACAGAAAACCAGGAAGTTCTGAGTAACAATCGAACTACACTTCTGGGCAAATTTAAGGATACATCCCAAAACCATCTATTCAAACACTATATCCACTAAGCCATTATGTCGAAATTCAAACAACAGAAACTCTCAGTTTCACACAAACCATTATGGACCTATAACAGCTACCATTGAATGATATTTAATCCTACTCATAACCTAGTTTCGTCACACAGGTGACAGCTGCATTTAAACTTCAAGAATCCCAACTCTAAAATTAATTCGTTAGTAAAACAAAGTGGATTATCATATACAGTTATGTTTCCAAACACTTTTGACAGTGATGAAAACAAGGCTGGCACTCATACAAGACTAAAACTTGATCACTGTGGTAGACTGGTTTATTCGATGTATCAAGAAGATGGAAAGATAATTAAAATTGCATAAACTATATATATA